ATAAAATAAATACCTATAATATTCTCTTTCTTTTTGTGCCCATAAAATATGATGATTCTATTCAGTTATATATTTTTTAGTTTCTTGTTCATTTTAATATTTTGAATTAAATCTCATATTTTTACATCTATAATATAAATCACTTCAAGGTGATAAAAATTTAATTTCTGGAATATATTTATTCCAAATACGCCAAAAAGTACTTAAATGAAATATATTTTAATTTTGATTTTTTATTGCTGATACAGTCACACCCCTCTAAATACATCCCGTTGGGACCATAGTGAAAAAAATTAAAATTTTGTACTTAGAGGGTGTTTGTATTTATAAAGAGTAAAATATATAAGACTCTTATAAGTTGGGACCAACCTAGATTGTGCATTTAGAGAGGTTTTACATAATACTTGCACTTAGGGGGTGTGCACTTAGGGGGGTGCGACTGTATATATAATTGATATAATGAAGAATAACTTTCACTTGTAGGAAGAAAAGTTATTAGTAAAGTATCTTTAGAAAAATGTTGCTCTTTATTAATTAAAAAATTAAATTAATTATTAAAATATAAAATTAAAAAAAAATTTAAACAAATACCTGGTAAAGGTAAACTATAAATATTTGTATAATTAATTATAAAAGTAAGTACATTTAAAATTGTTTCAAATGATATAGTAAAATTACTAATTTTGCTAGTTAATTTATGTATTCTTGAACTAATTCCTTGTTGAATAAAATAAGCTTTAATATTTCTCTAATATTTTTCTCCAATTCTATAAATTATTAAAAATGCATCACTACAAATTTCTATTCCTTCAAATATATATTTACTAGCAAGTCTGCTATGTTTTTGTCCTGTAGTAGTAGTTTCTTGTCAAATAGTTGCAGATAATATTTCAAATAAAAATAAATCTTTTTCATTATTACTTAAATTTTAAAATTTTTGATAAGATAAAATAGCATATTCATGAAAAACTAAATTTTGAAGACATTTTTCTTTGCAACATATTGTAGTTTGTAATTTTTTATATTAAGCTTCTTTATCTTTTTTTTTTTAATTTTTTGAATTGAATCTTCATTATTATTTTCATTATCTTTAATTTTATTTTTATAATAAATTTTTTTAAATTTATCTATTTGTTCATTATTTAAAATAGATTTATTTAAATTAGATTCATCTGATATAATAGATTCATCTAATTCTTCTTGGTTATAAGAATATTGTTCAATTAGATTATTAGATATTATTTCAACATCAGACTGATAAATTGTTTAAAATTCTTCTACTTGTTGATGCAATAATAATAATTCTGGGTGTGTATTATTATCACATAGAATTCATAATTAAAGAAATTTATTAAATATCTAAAAAAATCATTTATAGAAATTTTTAATCAAACCATTACTAATTTATTAATTATAAATTATCTTTGTATATCATCATGTAATTATACAATATCCTTAATTCGATTATTTTAACTGTTATACTAATATGTTTGTGATCATATGATACTTTTAATTCAATCATCTCACCTATCACTTTGATATGTCATAACAACATACAATTATATGATATCTGACTTATTTATTATACTGATCTATTGTAATAATATATAATTAGAAATTAGACTTAAAGGGGTGTGGCGATCTAGTGTAGTGGTTAGGTTGTCACCCCCACCAAGTGGCAGGTCAAGAGTTCGAAACCCA